TATGTATATATATATATATATTATACATGTATGTATATATATGTATACATATATACATACATGTATACATATATATATATATATATACACACACTCCTAAATAATTATTTGCAAACAGATTATGTTCAAAGTATGACTTCTGAAAGGGATTTGCCACCTAACTAGGATGGCCTTCAATCTAGTATGCTTTGATTGGACTCTCAAATCAAATAATGAGATCAAATCATCATGCACTGCTACTCTTTTTTTTTTGTGTCGTCAGTGAAATTTGTTCTTCAAGGAATTGAGGGGCTTAATCTTACCTTGCAAGATTTGACTGATGGCCCCTACCTACTCCATGTTAAAACAGATGGGATGAAACTATTTGTTGCTTGCAGTCACTGAGTCACTGTGTTTTGTAGTTGCACCTTCTCCCACCTCATCAAAAATATTTTTGCTCCAGAATTTTGGACATGCAGTAGCATTTCACTGGCTTCCTGCTTTGTACAGTCTGTTATGGCAATGTTCCACAGAAGTCACTCTCATGCAATGATAGGACACAAACCCAAGAAATTGAAATGTTTAAGGGGGTTATAAACGTGTATAAGAAATTTAACGATTCATTAAGGTAAACAGTATCATTTTCCCAAAGAATAAGGTACCAAATAAAATGAAGACATCCCTATAAATTTTCTTCTTTTTACCCTCATCATCTAATTATTTCTATAAAGATCTTTCATTGTACTGTGGTCTGAGATGGACGTGAGATGGGTAGAAGAACCGGGAGCTTTTTGTAGCTTCACGAAAGCACCATGTCTCTTGTAATAATGTTTTCAAATAGTTCACGTAACGTAAAGAACACTGTTACAGCGTCCAATAAAAAGCGTTTTTTTTATCTCGAAACAAAGATATTTTGAGAAACATAATATTTCTATGTCTTTATCCGCTTGTTTACCTTCATTCTGATTGCCGAGGTGGTGACCCCGCTGGCGGGGTCGCTGTATTTTGATTTTAGTCGTTCCAATCAGAAGTCAGGTTTATCGTTGAGTAGATATAGGTTGGTAGAAAATGTGTCGCCGATATAAATTTCTAATATTCGGAAAAGAAAATTTCCATTTAAATCGTCTCCCTCTCTCTCTCTCTCTCTCCCATCCTCCATCGTTTCCTTCTCTCTCCTCTCGCACACACCCTCGTTTTCTCCCCTCCGCAGGCGGCGATCGAAGCCTCGCTCTTCTTCCTCTCACGCTCCCTCGGTTAGGGTTCTCAAATTCGTTATCGACCGATCTTAACTCCATTCCATCCAATCTCCCTGGTGTTCCTCTCGGATCGGATGCTGAATCTGGTGAAGAAGCCTCCGATCCGTCGATCCCCCTGTAGCCGTCCCCGTCGAGATTTGCCTCGTATTTTGATCGGATCTCCGTTGAATTTGATGCTCCCATGATTGACATTCGAGATCCGGGCTTTTGGTAGATCTAGCTCGTCTTTTAGATCGGTGGTGGTGGTCGTCGTGCTGTGAAGCTCGCGAAGTTGGCGCCCCAACGCCGTTTCCAGCGCCACATGGGTGGCCAGGTGCAGCAGAGCCACGCCGGCTCCTCGGCGGGCCTGTACGACCACGCCGCCGGCGGAGATGCCGGGGATGCGGTCATGGCGCGGTGGCTCCAGTCCGCCGGGCTCCAGCACCTGGCCTCGCCGATGGCATCCTCTGATCAACGCTTCCTTCCCGGTCTAATGCAGGTACCAATATAGCCTCTTCTTGGTCGATTGTTGAGCGGTACTCACTTTGTTGGAGAGCAAGATCTGAGCTTTTCGCTCTTTCATATAATTGTTCTATGATCCAAAATGACACGAAGATAAGTTTGGTTTAGGAAAATTTCGTATCTCTCTTTTGGAACGTCAATCATGTTGTAGGAGCTGCCCATAGTTAGCACATTCTGGTAACTATGACGTGTTTAATGTTTTAATGGTGATATTTGTAGGGCTACGCACCACAAACAGCTGAGGAGAAGCATAAACTCTTGAGGCTTTTAAGGAATATGAATTTTAGTGGGGAATCAGTCTCTGAGTCCTATACTCCAACTGCACTAAGTATGGGTCAACAAGATGGCTCTTATTCACCTGAGATTAGAGGGGAATTTGGGGCTGGCCTTTTGGATCTACATGCTATGGATGACAGTGAGCTTCTTTCTGAGGTATGGTACTTAAGATATTGAACACGCTAATTCATTAACCACTGACTCAATTGGAACTTGTGTTAGCTTGCTGATTGATTTAGAATTTATCTATTATGCCCATTCTATTTATTTAGCCATTTTTAATCTTTCACCGGAATTATCTGTTGCATACTTAAGATGATCTATGATCCCCTTAGAGATATTTAAAAGTACCATCTATGTGAAAATGCTTTAGATGTTCCTCTCATTTCGTTCCTATCCAATCACCCTTTAATAGTGTCTCTAAGATAATCGAAAAGATCTGAAAAAATAAAAAACAATAAAGAGATGCATAGGAATAAAACAATTATCATATACCTGTTACTTTTATCATGGGCCCTATCATTTTCTTGCAATCTTAGGTAATCACAACAGAATTTCATAATTTGGTGGTGTTTACATGAATATGCTTTAGATGTGGCTTGTACTCAGAGAATTTTCCTCCTTTCTCCTGTCTTGTATATATAATGATAACTAAGAGAAGAAATAATCAATGATGATGAAAGGTTCATGATTTTTCTACAAAACTTAAGGATATCATATCATAGAAAGATACTAGTTTGAAAATGCAAATGATCGGGAATGCTAAGTAGCATTTTTCTTTATAAAATTTGTTAGAATTCGGTTTGTCCTTTCTTTGCAGCATGTTTTCTCAGAGCAATTTGAGCCATCACCATTCTTGCTTACCAAAGGAGTTGAGAACAATGAAAGTGACACAACATCTGCCTGGCAACAAGAGCCACCTGATATCAATACCAGAGAAGGAGACAGTAAAAGAGAGATCAGCACAAAAGAGAGTAATGTTGCCAAGATTAAAGTTGTGGTATGTAAAATTATAGAAAATACATTGCATGTTTTGCTATTTTCATGCTTCTGCACCTTGGAGATTATGATTTTCTATGACAAAATTGGTGGTTAATTTGGAATTGTGTCTAATATTTATTCCATGATGCTAAATGCTATAAACAATTCCTGTCCTTAATAAGAAACAACCATATCAGTACCAAATTGATTTTCTCATAGAAGGATATATTTTTGTTTACACCTTTTCTCATTGTATTATTTTTGACAGAATAAGAAAGAATAAACATTTTAGAAGAGTTGCAAAGTTCGAAAAAGTCCTGGTTTTTATCATGTTAGATTTATTCTTTAGCAACCTATCAGGTAAAGGTAATATCCTTGTAGTATCATTTCTCTAATATTAAAATTTTTGAGGCAATTCTCTGGTATCAAAACTTTTGGGATTTTTTTCTCCTCTGTAGTACCTAAAGACGATAGTATGATGGTATTATGTAATCACACATTGAACTATATATCTACTATACCAAAGATGATTCTAACATTGGTTCCTGAAAAATGGTTTTGTAAGTTAAACATGTTAAACAATTAATATGGGGCATATTCAGTTGCCAATAGTTCTGCATTTGGATAGATAATTTGGTTACCAATGTTTTATCCAAACAAAATCTTAAACTTTGAGATGGAAAGTATGACTCATACTGATATGGTTTGTCCATGTTTCTGAGACTGACATATGTTTATCTTGCTTAAGACTTTTTAATATTTTGGCATTATGCATAGTTTAATTAAAACAATAGACAGGTGCTTAAGAGCTTTTATATCTGAATTCTTGAAAACTGGTTCACCATGTTGATGTATGTAGCTACTATATATACACATTCTCATCTTGCTTAAAACTTCTATGTTCTGTCATCAGTTGAAGATTGCTTGAATCTGAAGATGAAGAGAATATGCCATTATGCCTTTGTTCACCCTGTCTATGCATAATGCCATTTCTAAAAGACAGTTAATCCCCCAACTTCTTTTTATTCTTCTCAGGTACGCAAAAGACCTTTGAACAAAAAGGAGATATCTAGAAAGGAGGATGATATTGTAACTGTTCATGATAATGCCTATTTAACAGTCCATGAGCCAAAGCTAA